AGGCTTTACCACACTGATTACATTCATAGGGTTTCTCTCCAGTATGGGTTCTTTCATGACTTTGTAGATTATAGTGCTGGGCAAAGGCTTTACGAGACTCATTTTTTTCATGGGGCTTCAATCTAGTATGTATTTTTTCATGCCTGTGAAAATGACACGCAAAGGCTTTAATAAATTGATAATATACAGAAGTTTTCTCTCTAGTTTGACTTTTTCATGCCTACATTGATAATGGTACATGTGAAAGCATTACTACATTTAATACATTGTTGAATATTTTTATCTGTATAAATTAATTTTACAATTTAGTCCTATTTTTTGTTTGTTTGGATGCCAACTTTATAGACCTGGATGGAGTGGGGAGGACTTTGGACTTCCCAAGGGGCAGGGAACCCTGACTGCTCTTAAGACTAGAGAGGGAGAGGGAGGGGGGAGGGGAAGAAAAAGGGAGGCAGGGAGGAGGTAGAAATTTTTAATAAATTAATAAATAAGTAAATAAAAAAAAGAATTATATGTTAAGGTTTTATCACTATGTTTACAATCTTGTTTTTCCCCTTTATTAAGGCTTGATTTTCATCTTTGAGGGTAACTAATAACAGCCTTTATTACCTAGTTTACATTTACAGAAACTTTTTTTCTGTATGAGAATTTTCATGTAGTTGAAGAGAACTGAAAAAGCTCAGAGCTTTACCACTCTTATTGCATTCATAACATTTCCTACACTATGAGTGATACTTCATTTGTTAAGGGAACTAAGACAAACATAAGTTTTTACACAGTCATAGTACTCATGGTGCTTTTCTGAAATGTGAGCTTATTGATATATTAACAATGAGACTAGAAAACCAATTTCTTGTATATTTGTACATCAGATTCAACAAGTATATTCAACATGGAGACTGTTACATATTTCTATTTGCTCTGAGAGAGGTATGTTATATTTTTTCACATCCCTATGCTCATGTGGCTTGTATCCAGAGGAACATATGATATACTTAGTAAAGGAAGATTAATAAATATAAAGCTTCCACATTGAGTTCACAGTTTGACTTTCTGTCCTCATAGACTTGTGGTATCTGGATTAAGGACTCTTCCACAACAGCTGCCACATGATTTGTGACTCTAACTGCCTCCTAACTAAACTTAACACAGTCACATGTATATGGGTTAAACTGTCCATTCTATGGACTATCAGTGTAATACAGAGGTTTACAGATATACTTATCACCTTTTCAACATGTTTATCTTTTATAATAAGAAATAAATGGATTGACAATATTACAGTATAGCTCTTATTATGTTATGATTCAAATGGCAATACAGGTTAAGACATTGTTTCCTTGACTTCTTTCTTAAAAGAATGACTTGCAAATGCAGCTCACCTATCTGAAATTAAGGTAAATGATTTTGGGAGAATTTAATAATCATAAATGCATGTTATTTACATTGTTGCTTTGGTTAAAACATATAGGTACATTTGTATCAGCTTATACATGAAAATTACCTTTGATGACTTCTAGAACTTTGACAATGTTCTTCAATATTATGGCCTTCCCTAATGTATCCTAAAATATAGTGGCAAAAAAGATATATTAGAAATTGTAAAATATTTAGTGACCATTTGAAGCAATGCCTGATTTCTTTAATGATTTTTCTTTCTCAATCATATTACAAAAGAGCATCATTAACCAAAGAATAGTTGTCCCCTTATTTGACACATGAAAGATAATTCAGTTTTACCTATAGCAGTGAGGTTTCTGTAGTTCTCCACCATCACATCTCTGTAGAGACTCTTCTGGGAAGGATTCAGCAAAGCCCATTCTTCCCAAGTGAAGTTGACATGCACGTCATCATAGGTCACTGCATTCTAAAATATTCCATACATGTGTACAACAGAAAGCATGAATTGACAACACTATAAATATATACTTCTTTGACAATATAGTCATATAATTCCGGTCCTCTCCATACTTATTCCACAACATAGACTTCATAATTTAATCAACAAGTCACTTTAGAAGCAAATTGAATAGGAGGTTCACTTCTGTCATTTCTGAGTCCTTTGAATGTGATATCACCTTGCAAGAGAAATGCCTACTAACCAACAATGAAAGATAAAGATACATAAACAGATCAACAGTTCAATGTACAGACAAGAGAAATTGTATGAATGATTAATTTCTGACTACAAAAAAGAATAATAAGATGAAAAAGCTGCATGCATTGAATCATGCCTCTAATCCTTGTACTCACAAGGTCGTGGCATAAATATCTATCTGCCTCTGAGTTGAATATCAGCTTAGTCCACACAATCACTTCTAGGGCAGCCAGAAATATATGTAAATTACCTGTTTCATATGAAAAATTCAATCAAAAATGAAAGTTAGAAATAACTCATAGGTTTTTGCTGAAATTTTCCACAAACCTTTATGCATTCACTTCAACTCTTTATTCATCTACCAGAAACCTGATGTGCCATAATTTAAACTGTAACATAAATAAGATTTTACTAAAAGGCACTGGGTGTTTAAAGTTACAAATGGACAAATGAAAACATTAGCAATTAATATGCTGATCACAAATAATCAACTCAGATCAGGAAAGATGACTCAACAGAAAAGAGTCCTTTTGGTGTTGCATACAGGTGGGCTCAATGAATTACAAGGAATCATAACTATGCTTTATTCCATGTTCAATGTTTCTAATATCATCTTTTGATCAACGTAAGCAAGTAGTACTAACAAGGTGCATATCCATGCATACAGGTAAAATACGCTTTTTAAAATAAAAATTCAAAACGAACCAAAGAGGCAGGAAGAAGGTTATGCACCTGCAATCCAATGACTCAGAAGGCACAGGCAAGATTAATGTCATGAATACATGCCATCCTGGGAATCATAATGATCGATACCCTCTGTCAAATTTAAAATTCAAGATATGGGTGAAGCTCAGTACAAAACCATCATACAATATAAAAACAAAAAAGCCTTGAATGCTGGCCCACCTTTAATCCCAGCACTTGGGAGTCAGAGTCAGAGGTTCTCTGAGTTTGAAGTCAGCCTGGCATATAGAATTACTGTCAAGACAGTTAGGGCTACAGAGACAAACCTTGTCTTCAAAATAAACAAACAAAAACATGAACAGTAGGCTACCAAACCACCTTAGCACCAAATAGCAGTTAATTCTACTCAATCTTATTTAATTTGGTGATAGTTTATGATGGTAGGAAATTTATAAGAGAAAGCTGACTTATTAGTTTCAACCACAACACAGTAGGCACAAAGAACAGGAAATGGATTAAGGCTATAGAAACTTGTATTGTGGGATTCCCTTCTGTATGCTGTGATTCTCATTGGTTAGTATTAAAGAAACTGCTTTGGGCCTAAAGCAGAGATATAGGACAACTCTTAGGTGGGTTGGAAAAACTAAACTTAATGCTGGGAGGAAGAGGGCAGAGTCAGAGAGAAGTCATGTAGCCCTGCTGTAGACAGGCACTGAGAAATTTACCTCATAAGCCACAGCCACATTGCAATACACAGACTAATAGAAATTGATTAAATTAATATGTAAGATTAGCCAATAAAAATCTAGAGCTAATGAGTTAAGCAGTCATTTAATTAATACAGTTTCTGCATGACTATTTTAAGGCTGAGCAGCTGGAAACTAACAAGCAGCTTCCCACAACAAACTGGTGCCCACATGGCCAACTAAAATCCACTTAAACTCTTAGAGAACTTGGAAAGGAATTCTAGAGACTGAAAAATGAAGTTTAGGCACATTTCTTTTCCCAAATGGGCTTTGCTTACTGGTGACATGCTTTGGCACCTTTCAGAGAGGTTTTTCTCATTTAGAGGTAGCAGAAAAAAGCTGCAGCATTTTAAAATGCCGGCTATCTGGACTGTGCTGCCAGCGTGAACTCTGACTCTTTCAGGAGGACCAGTTATGGGGTCTGTGAGAAGATTGCTAAAGGCAAGTTAGACCTCGTGTATGCCTGTAAATGGGGCAATGGACATGGCTCTTGGAGGCAGCAAATGTGCCTCTGCCATGTTGGACTGTATGAAGCAAGCAGGCAGGCCATATTTGTTCTACCAACGGCACAGCATAAGTTCATAAGAAGTGCTTAGCATTATAAGAAAAACACTCCTGAACAGGAAAAAATTACAGATACATAATAGGGCAGATTCATACAAAAAAGACCTCTAAATGAGACATAGTGTGTTTAGAAACCGTACATAGAACTGGGAGAGAAAAGAAAAATAATATAGAGAGTTATAAAAACAAGAAAATGGTTTATAAAAAATGAATTCTTTAAAGAGACAGAGTACAGACAATCATAAATTAAAGGAGTAAAGACAATAATAAATATTCAAAAGTAATAGAATGAAAACAAATAAGCAAAGTAAAGATGGACTATATACAGAGTGTCTGGATTATGTATATTATTATGTGTTCTTTGAATTTTTTGACTGTAAAGAAGATAAGTAACCAACATATATACTTTAAAAATATTATATCTTCAGAATTTGGGTCTAAAAATTTGTTGCTATGGAAAAGAGGTTCTTCTGTTTCCACAGAGCATGAGAACCTGTGGAATCCTTCCAGACTAATATGGCTTGAAAATCAAGACCATCCAAAAGGTAAGTATGAATGCTCAAAAAATTACTTCACAAAATAAAAAGCAGGAAGCAGTTTGGAGAGAACTGTACCCATATTCCCAAATACTGTACATAAATGTTAGCTTACATTTAAAGGCAGATATGCTATAGAGATTAACATAAGTAAGAATCTTGGTTTAAAACAACCTAGGTGCCCCTGAATAGAAGAATGGTTAATAAAGGTGTGGAACATATACACATTAGAGTTCTACTCAGCGGTAAAAAACAATGACATCTTGAATTTTGCATGCAAATGGATGGAAATAGAAAACGCTTTACTGAGTGAGGTAAGCCAGATCCAAAAAGAGGAATATGGTATGTATTCACTCATATGTGGATTCTAACCATAATTAAAGGTCTTTGAGCCTATTATTTGAGATCCTAGAGAAGCTAAATAAGAAGGTGAACCTGTTGAAAATCATGTAGCTATCAGCCTGGAGATTGGAAATAGACAAGAGTCCCAGGTAACCTCGGGTGCATGGGGGGTGGGGGAGTGGGAGGGTTGTTGGAAGGGGAGAGGATTAGAGAGAAGGGAGTAGGGGAGGAATGGGGAAAGCTCGGTGAACTGGGATGGGGGGAGGGAGGAAGGATTGATATGGGATCAGGGAAGAATATATTTCAACTAGGGGAGTCATTTTAGGGTTTACAGGAGACTTGATTATAAATGGGATCCCAGGTCCAAGGAGAGATCCCCAGATTGTTCTCTGGACAGAGGAGAGGGTGCCTGAAACGGCCTAGGCCCATAACCATACTGATGAATATTTTGCTTATCACCATAGAACCTTCATCTGGCGATGGATGGAGATAGAGACAGAGACCCACATCGGAACACTGGACTTAACTCCCTAGGTCCAAACGAGAAGCAGAAGGAAAGAGAACGTGAGCAAAGAAGGCAAGATCAGAGAGAACCTTCCTCCGACGATGGATGGCGATACAGACGGAGATCCACATTGGAGCACCGGACTGAGCCCCCCAAGGTCCAAATGAGGAGCAGAAGGAGGAAGAAAATGAAAAAGGAAATAAGGACTGCAAGGGATGCAATCACCCACTGATACAAGGGGACTGATCTAATGAGAGTTTACCAAGGCCAGTTGGACTGGGACTGAACGAGGACGCAATCCAACCAGATTCTCTGAATGTGGCCGGATTCTCTGAATGTGGTTGGCCCGGAGTCTTTCTGAAACAATGGCACTGGGACTTGTTTCCTCTGCATATACTGGATTTTGTGGATCTAGTCCGTCTGGACACTCACCTTCCTGGACCTGGAGGGAGGAGGGAGGAACTTGAACTTCCCACAGGGCAGGAAACCCTGACTGCTCTTAGGGATGGAGAGGGAGGAGGAGAGGGAGTGGGGGGAGTGGGAGGGTGATGGGAGGAGGGGCGGAAATGGAAACTTTTATAATTTAATAAAATTACTAAAAAAAAAAGAAATAAAAAAAAGAATCTTGGTTTATTGATGCAAATTTAAGGTCAATTGTGTGAATTTTTGCTCTAGATTAAGGTATTGTATTTGTGCAGGTCATTTAAAAATGTAATGTATAATTAAAATGTAGGTAAATACAGAGTCATCTATAATAGTAATACTCAAGTTTGTACTCATGTTAGTTAGATTTTCTAGATGTACAGAGTTGTATTTCAGTTAGATAGCGATTCATGGAATCTTTCAGAGACTTTCAGAATATGGCATTTAAAAAATTTTAAGAGCATAAGACTTTTCATGACAATGAAACATATCTGCTCCTGGTGACACCAATCTACTTTGAGAGGATGATGGATATTGACGAGGCTCCTTATGGAGTTTGTAAGCCATTTGGGCAAGAAGCTGCTCTTGCCTGGACTGTTTGATGAACTGGACATGCAGGACCCACAGAAAAATGACTGCCAAGCTTGCCTAAAGGTGAGATGATTCTTTGGGGTTCCTGCTTCATGAAAGAGTCTGCCAGACATTCTACAGGACACAGAAGACAGCAACTGATGAACTTTTCCATTGCAAGGCAGAACAGGTCTTCAAATTTCCTGTTTCATGGAAAAGTTTGCTAGATACTATGGGCCTGTGGGCTGATGACTGGATGCCCCAACAATACAGAAGAACTTTGGGTGACTGTCTGGGCAACAAGATGTCTGTCATTTCTAGAGTTCTGGAAGTTGCTTACAATATTGTAACATGAGGGGGCCAGCTTGTTGGGGTATCTATCCCGCCCAGTACCCCACA